ATAAAAAATTTTTTATTTTACTTTGAAAAATTACTTTCATAATTCTCGCCGAGTGTAGTTACTTCGTTTCAGTATTTTTAAAACAGTTTAAAACCAACAAGAGAATATGGAAGTACGAAAAACTTGGCTTTCTTCGAAGGTTTCTGAAATATATATATATTTGGAAGCCTTCAGATGCTTCTTTAACCATTTTACACATAAACAGGAAGCCGTTTATTAAAAAATAAAATCCATAAATAAATTTAATGTTTTATAAGTATTGATTTAGTAAACACATCTCTGTACTGTCCTAGAAACATTATACAGGGTAATGCAAAAGTTATATACCATCGTGATATTTCTATACCCGCTCATAGTAAGATATTTCGCCGCGATATAGCGGCTCGTGGAACGGCTCTGAGTTCTTTCTATCTTTTTTTTCTAAGTACAAACGTTTAGCTCATAGCTTCGCCATAGCTTGACCGATTTGAGATCTAATTACAGTTTTGGACTCAGAAAATCAAACCCTTTCAATTGATTTATTTTACCATGTCCAAGACCCCCTAGATTAATTTACTCTAATCCTGTCTAAGAGAATTTCAATTTGAGGGTAGGCTGGTAGAGATTCTGATGATGAGTAATAAAATTGAATCGGGTATATGCGCGCCCGCTCTTGGTATTGGTGGCGCATAAAAGTATAGCTGACAAAAGGGGGGGGAGGTCTCATAGATTAATTTACTCTAATCCTGCTTAAAGAAATTTCAAATGCCGCGGCTATTGGGGATTCCCACTTGTTCTAAGTCATATTTGTGTTTCATGGCTTTTCTTTTGTCACAATATCAATGCAAGGGGGCGTGGAGGTAATTCTGTTGTGTTATTGTGAAATGATGTCAGCAATGCAGTTTGGAATGGCTGTGCAATATTAAACTAAACAAATAATATGAATAGAACTTATAGATCATCTTCAAACCATAAATGGACGTTTAGTAGCCACATTGTGCACTTTAAACGAAATGGTTCAACGCTTTGATATCTTGAAAGATTTAGTGGTTTTGTAAGTAGTTAGAGCCCTCGAAATGTTTAAACTTCGTGCTCAAAAAATTGAACAACACATTACTAACTGCCATGGTTAGATTCAGATAGTTTCAAGGCTTTCGAGACCCTTTTCGCTGTATGTCTTTTACATTCTGTTTCATATTCTTTTTATTTTTTGTTTGTTTTTCATAGTTCATGTGGAATTTCACATTACAACAGTTGTTTTTAATTATCTGTATGCAACATTACATTTTACTCTTCATAAGTATCGAGGTGGCGCTTGATTATAGTGTGTTGGCTAGTTATTTCCTTGGACAGGAGCTTGGCATAGCCTGGAGAGTGAGTAGGGCACTAGACTCGTAATCTGAGGGTCACGGGATCGAAACCCGTCACCGAACATTCTCGTCCTTTCAACCATATGAGCGTTATAATGTGACGTCAACTCCACTATTTCTTGTGTTACGTATTACAATTTCAGATAGCCTAAAGCTAAAGTTAAATTGTAATTAGGATTTAGTAGTTAAATGAATTCCGATATATATCCAGTTTATTATATTTGCCAACAAGATTGATACATATAGTTTCTTTTTCTTAATACAAATATGTTTTATTATACAAACAACAATACAATTTACAATAACAATTATTACAAATAGTTATTACAGACAATGATTTATATACAAAAGTTTTACAAACTTACAAACATTATAAAGTCTTCTTTCCTGTTTTGAACTTCCTTGATGTCTTATCGAGGGTTCATGATGAGCGAGTTAATTTCGAGTTAATGTATGTATAATTCACTTAATTGGAAGTTAGCTAGCTCTCTATTCTTCTTTCTTCACTAAACGTCGAGTTTTTCCGCCGAAGTTATATAATGTTTTCGTAAAAGCACTAATGTCTGATGTGAATCCACTGAAGTTAAATGGTTTGTAATATTCGAAATCTAAAAACGTACCTGGTCAATATATCTGAAGTTCACGATCAATAAGCGTTAATCACATCCGAAGTTTATATCACTCAAACTATAGCAAACCAATAATATATACTGTTTTTTGGCGCGTGGCGTTGGTTAAATTTATATGCGTGTGAAGAGTTTCTCGAAATTTCAGCTTACGTAACAGTACTGACGCTAACACTGGCGTTTACGTACATACATATATTGTTGATTCTTACACTCAAGATTCTTCTACAACTTTAGAGAATAGGAGGGAGTTTCGCAATACATATTTAACAGTATAAGTGATGTACATTTCTAATAATAAATCCGTCACACTTGGTGAAGAGTAGCCCAAGTGTTGGCAGTGGATATTGTGAATTAGCTGCTTTCCTTCTAGTCTACCACTTCAAAATTAGGGACGACTAGTGCAGATAGCCCTCCAGTAACTTTGCGCGAAAAATATGAAATATTATTACAGATAAATATGTTTATTATACTTTTAGATTGATTACTTGTAAAAGTACAGACTATTATAATAAGATAATGACATGATATTATTAACATTATCTGTATTTGAAAAATAAACGATTATTTCAAGTTATTTGCCAAGGAAAAGTTAACGCGAAGTTAAATGACATCACTCCAACTGTGGAAGTAACAATTTAATATGATGATGTGTGTTTGGATAATAGGCGAATTTACAATTTTTAGGGTGGGATTTTACACTCGGATCACCCTTATAAACATTAGTTTGAGCTCCCTCCCATCAAATTCATTATCTCTTTGGATTCGCCTCATTACCCTGTGCAATAAACGACAGATAATTAAGAAAAAGTTCCTAAGTATTTTAGAGCGAGGTACAATTAATTTTTTTTCTAATGTGATTGTGAACAAACACACACACTCACCCACAAACTGTAGCAGACATTATTTGTTTTATATATCCATATACCGTAGAAAGTTTGTGTTTAAGAGCATAGCTACATAATTGGCTATCTCCATTTTCCACATCACGGGTATCG